TCGACATTTTCTCAGACACAACAAGCAGACATTAGATTTTCTTTTTAAGGATTCAGATTTATTGCATAACCCACTTTGTAGCACTAGAAAATCGCATTTTAATGGGTTAAATGCGATTGGAGGGATGGCAAGCGACCTCTTTCCACAACCTCTGCCCTTCATAAAAATTGGGTGTCTCTGGAGTGCTTTAATTGTTCCCCCATTTAAAAGATTGACGACATTAGAATGGCTGCGTTGGAGCATTTTATTAGACATGGTAATGGGTTTGGTATGGATAAGGTCAGGGTTAAGACCTCATCGTTATGTACCCTCCAGCAAAATTGCAGAGACAAACGCCGCAAACAATTCGTCAACACCTCCACCCCCCCCAACCAACCTGATACGAGAGAAGTGCTTCGAGCATTACGGGTTAAGACCTCATCTAACACCCATGGGAAATTATCGAAAACCAATGTAGTGAGATGCACCGTGACTGATTGTGCTGGTGTGAAATAACACAGACACAAACACATGGAGAGAGTCAGCGGAGAGAAAGAATATGAAGGAAAAACAGACAATGCAGTAGATAAAAATACAGATATATTTTTTTTAAAAATGGGTTCAGGAGAAAGTAAGGGAAATGTTAGAATCGATAAGGATTTTATCAGTTCAAATGGACTTTTTTTTTTTTTAATACCTACCACAGAGTGCAAAACCTGAAGTTACTCTATCAACAGATAAGCTAACCTGGGTAATGGGCGTGTCAGTGTAAGTGGATGGACATGTCTCGCTCTGGACGCAGTTGCTCCATACTCTTTGGATTTTTGGGCGATCGCTGAACAGCGCTTTGTGAGATATTCAAAACATGTTATTATATTTTATCTCATCTTTATGCTTTAAAACTCTCCACAACTTCATCGCCAATCTGTCTGCAAACTACAAACACAGTTGTGTAGTTATTTGACACAGTAAAGGTATTGTACAAATACAGTAAAGGAATATTTGTACTCCTTTACTGAAGTACAAATAAGTAACAAGTTGCTAGAAGAAAAGTCAGTCACAAATTTGTCTTATTTTGAAACACATTCTTTGAGTAGAAAAATGAAATAGGAGCATGTTGTCAAAGATCATAAAACCATATCTGGATGTGTTCCAGGGTTACACGTGTTTAGGACAGTTCTTCCAGCTGGAATGCACACGGAGAAAATTAGATTTTCCTCTATTTTCAATTTGTTTATACAGTAATTGCTTGACCCCGCGCTCCGGGGTTTCAGGCATGATTAAAATGCTGCCACTTCTCTCCCCTTGTTGACTATCAGACAATCAGATGATAGACCATTCTGAAAGGTCTTTTTTCACCTCTTCTCTTCTACCTCCTGGGAGTGGAAGACAAAGGAAAATACGGAGGTGGGAAATTGAGGGGAAATTGAGAGAGAGCGGTAGACGGGGAGGGAGAAGGCCGGAGGCATGAAGAGAGGGAGAGGTGAGGAGGAAGGCAGAGCGAAAACAGATGTGGCTCATTGAAGCAGTTCTAGCCCACAGTCAGAGACAAAGACCTGAGAGCATGAGTGCATGATCCCCCACTGGCACACGGGAAATTATAGATAGTGTGTGTTACGGGGAGTGTGAGGAGAAAGAAGAAGGATAGATTATTTTACAGTACTTAGAGATGGTGTTTGCTAATATATTTTTCCTATAGCTGAATCCCAACAGTTTATAAATCACCAAACAAATTAATCTCAAGATGTTTTTAGAGCTATGACTTCATCCGCCTTGTATCACAAATTCAAACAAATAGGATCAATACATCTCTGCCAGGGCTCAGCTGCTTTTTAATTTGTTTCCCACTGTTGGTAAAGGAGTTATATTGCTACATCTCTCAATATCTGCAGGGTTTCATATTTGTGAGGTATAAGATTAATTTGTAATATATTGCAAATATCAAATTTCCGCCTGTTCTGCTTTGATCCTCGCATTGGTGACGCACAGACACAATAAAAATGACTGAGTTGGAGACAGCATTTTGTAATTGCATTGGGACGAGTGAAATATGAGGAAAGTACACCCTCTTCCAGTTCTGTATAACAGCACAAACCCACAACATATGCAAAACCGCTAATATTAATTTTGTCAGGAAACAAAGTCATAACAATGTCTTGAAGCTAAGTAAACCTTTGCTGCTTCTGTAGGGTTTGAAAAAAAAGGAAAAATAGCAACCAACTGTGACCAAATGCAATGACAAGAAGGAAAGACATAAGCAATGACCACAGCTTGATGTAGAAAGCATTTAAGACAGATGCCCAGACCTACAACATGGGTAATGTAATATATTTCTGCAGATGGCAGTAGGACCACAGTGAAATTTTACCAAATTATTCCTAAACTTTTTTTTCTTTTAAACTAGCCTTTTAAAGAAGTAGAGGTTTATGTTAGCAAGCAGCTACCTCACTCAGTTGGGTAAAGTGAGTGAGTTATTTCAACTGATTTTAGCCAATTTCCCTTCTTATTTTTCAAAATCCTATTTTTTTTGTTAAGTGATTTTTATTTATCAGAAAAACTGTATATTTTTGAGCAGGCTGAAATGTTTCTAAAATCATTGTTCTTAAGAAGCTTTTTTTTTTTTTTTGTCCCAGTGGGCTACAGGTGGTTTTGAACAAATAAATGCTGAACAGTTTGACCAAGTTGTGGCACTTTTCTTCTTCTATTCACATTTTCATTACACTCACAAATAAAGAGTGTACAGCAGAATTAGCAGCACTGAATCCCGCCTGACCTTAATGACATTTTGCCAAATTCAGCTTTTAACTGTGGAATACATTTGTTTGCATGTGTGTGTGCGTGTGTGGTTTTTAAATAGCCTCATTAGGTAAGCACTGATGGATAATACCTTAGTGAAATAATTACTACCCCTTTCCTGGCCCCTTTTAACAGAGAGTAAAAGAGAGTGAGCACAGAGAAAGAAGGAAGGAAGGGACATGAGAGAGAGGAAGGAATATAAGGAGAAAAGCTATGAAGAAGCCAGTGACAGACAGAGGAAGAGTGATGGCAAAGAAAGAGCAGGGGAGAAATTTGCAGAGACTTTATTCATTAAAAAGAGGAGCACAACAAGGGGAGATGGCATTAATCAGAGCCCTGTGCTAATGAGGCATTTACTCATTATACAGAAATAGAGAGAGGCTTCGGAAGAAAAAGACAAGAGAGGGAAGGATAGACTGCAATGCAAATGAGTAGAAAGCGAACTGGGGTGAAAACAGGGAGGCTGTTGCAGAAAGGTGAAAGAGTCAAGTGTGTTTGAGGTGAAGCCCGAAACAAATCTGAAGAGTGAGGCAGTGCCCTCTGAAAGTAACCGGGAGCCGCCACTGCTTAAATTCACTTTCAAAGGTTTAAAGCTCGAATGAGTAATTTAAATAGAGTGACAGTATACGAGCGTGACAGTAAAAATTACAACTTCACCACGTTTATGGGAGAGTGGCTGCAGGCTACAGTTTTATCACAAATGGCACAATTTCTAGGAACAAAAAAGCAATTTCATTTTGATGGCAAAACACAAGAAATTATGGCTTTCATAATGGTTTTTATATCATATTATGTCATTTTTCTTCTCTTTCAGCATGACTTTAGAGAACAGAGAGGCCTTTCATTCAGTTAATAGCTGATTGAACATGTTTGATGTCTGTTTCTACCATTAATCTGGAATAACCGTTTTTGGTAACTCAGTTGTTATTTTGCTTTATTTGGCACTCTTCGCTAATTGGTTGGGTTTCTTTAAGTCGATTCCACCTAAAAAGATTGAATGGGAACGTAATCATACAATTTGATTTGTAATTTCAGAAGAACTTCCTGTGGTTTAATAAAATATTACAAAGCATGATTATAAGAAAATCACATATTATGTCCATTTGTAACCTTAAGAGCTACATAACATATGGTAGCTTGACTACAATTGCATATATTCTATGCAAGACATTTTTATTCTTTCATAAGAGACAGACTGTCCATGATTACCAATTTTGTCTTTTATATGGAACCATAGAAAAAAACAAAACGGGGACTTATTTCTTTTTCTGAACTATTGGCATTGATCAAAGCCAGGCTGTGATTGTAAGATATTTTTCTCTGCAGTGACTAAAACCACAAACTCTCATCCCAGTAACTACATGTAAACAGTGAAAATAAACAATTGCACTTAATCAAGTTAAAAATGTTTGTGCGTGTGCAACAAGCAGCCAGTTGTGTGAACTGAAATAGCCCAAAATGACGGATTGAGATTGCTCCATTGTTGTTTTAAAATCTGATCAAAGATGGATAATATGCGTGACAGTTGCCGTGAGGGCAGCAACAGGTTGGGCAGGGGCAGCACTGCGTTTGTCTTTACTACATTCTTTGTTTACTTTCGTGCCAAAAATATATTTTGATACCAAATTATGATTTTAATTGAGAGTGTTAATTGTGAAGAGAATTCAGTATCGGTCTAAATGGTTGATTTTCTTTGGGTTTTTTTGTTGTCACCATGCAAAAGCTGCTACACCAACCATAATGTACCTCTTCATCCCCACGGTTTTCAGTTTTCTGCATAAATCTTCTTGTGCCTCAAACCAAAAGCAGTTGCCTTTCAGTTTCTGACCCTTACGTGACACCAAAAACAGAAACCTTCTCTTCTCTCTTTGACTGAAAGCCTGGAAAACAGCCTTTAATAATCTCCAAACCAAGCTCTCATCTGTTTTTCTTCTTTTTTTTCCCTCTAACCTCCTACCATTATTCTTCCCTTTTCCCTGACCTAATGTATGTGGCGGCGCATGATTCAAATCTAATCTCAGTTATCCTTCATCATTAGAATTATAAATTCCACATCTATTTTTAGTACTAACCCCCACAATCCAGTTTGATTAAGCCACGGTTAAAGCTTGCTCTGACTTTCAGCCTGCTCTGTCCTCTCTCTCTCTCAGGATGTAATTCAACTCACCTTCTTTCTGTCTGTCTCTGACCGTCTGCCCGTCTGTCTTTTTGTCTGTCTGCCCTAGGAGTCCGACCTTGTCCTGACGTTCAACCTGTCCATGCATCGTTCCTGGTGGATGGAGAACGGCCCCGGGTGCAGGGTGACACCGATCACCCCTCCTCCCTCCTGGGCACCGGAGGACCACCGATATATATCTATATCTGACTGTCTTATGAACTTTGAGTTCATAGAAGTGGCTCATTCCTCACTGCAGATACTCCTGGCTGTGAGTATTCATCTTAAATGAGTTTTCTCTGGAGTCTATTTTTTTTGGGCAAAGGTCTTAAAACCTACAGAAATAGGAAGTGTTTGCAGGATGTGCTGCTGTAATTTCAGTTTGCAAAAACTCTAAAAGATTCTGCATCTTTTTGCTTGTGACACCAACTTCGATTTCTGAATTTTACAAACAAAAACTGGTAGTTAGGTGACAGGGATATCTTTGCCAAAGTCTGGGAGCGTTGTTTTAACACCAATGAATAAAGAGCAGCTGGGTAAAATAGCCTTGAACTGCCTTGTTAAATCTCATGGCCATCCAGGGAAGGAATAATTGTTGTGAAGAGAAGTTTTTGTAGAAATCCAAAACGATTTGATTGAACATCTTGATACACTGAATTTCTCATTTTCTAAAGCATTACTGATTACTTGGATCATCTTCGAGATGCTGATAGAAATCAAGAGTGAAACAGTGTTGATGCATGATTTACTACTGCACTGATCACCATTGTCATCTTCCAATTCTGGACATGTTTTTAGTGCATTCCTACTTTTGCATTTTTGAACTTTGAACTGTTTTACGAATGAGTTGTTTACAGATTGGAGCGACAAAATACACATCAAATTATGTTCTAAACAGTTGCCTTTAGGTGAATATTGAGTTGATGTGTTTGTGTTACACTGCACAGTATTTCAAAATTCCTTAAATTACACAGCAGTAAATCAAGCCTCTTTTCTGTTAATGGAAAGTCTCACTTTACTTGAGTTCTCCATGTTTAACTCTGCACATTTACATATTTGGTTCAAAATCAGTCATTTCCTGTTTTCTTCTGCATTTCTTACCTATTCCCTAACGAAAAGAGAAGCCAGGAGTAGAAATGAGGCAGACCTGACACTTTTTATCTTTGTTTCCTACGTCGCCCAGCACTTTTTTTTCTTTTGCAATAAACAAGCGGGTGTTTTTATTCCGTCTGTTTGCATCATGACGCTTACAGAATGAGTGAAAGTCTTTTCTCTCTTTTCTTTTTTTTTTACCTTCTTCTTTCTGGATCTTTGTCCCTTATGCACCGCTGTTCCCTCTCATCATGCGCTTACTGTGACTCTCCGTAAATCGATAGTGGTACTTATATCGTGGCTGAGTGCCAGGCTACCAAACAGCTTTACTACTGTCTCGCAGTAATTGGTGTGTTGAAACACTGTCATGCTCCCTGAGCACAAACTCAACAGTCTGACGGGTTCACCGGCTGACTGGCTGCCTGGTTTAAGGCCCATCACTAAGTGAGCGGTTAGTGTTTTATTGGGCTGCACAATGAACTGTAAGACTAGTTGTCTCCATGCCTACTAGTTTGGTGCCTGATTTCCAGATAACTGACAGGGAGAAAAATTAATAAGAGGGTGGCTGTCAGTTGGAATATTTTAGACTTCAAGAAAGCTGAGTTCATGTGGATAGAATCACTAAAAAAAGAAATCTGATGAAGATATTTGTGGATAGTCTGTTTGGGGGTGGGAGGAGGAGGGAGGATACCTACTGAGGCACAGCAGCTGTCAAGATCTTTTCCAGAGCATGAGTTTGTTTGGGTCAGTGGTCTTTTGGGCATGATGTGATGGACTAGTTTGCCTGTCTGACTGGCTCACTGACGGTCTGATTGTCCATGTAGCTCAACCAGTTGTGATGTACTCTGCCACTACTTCAGCTCCGTAAGGTATTCTGTGTTTTTACAAGTGACACAGGCATTTTCTCTCAAGAACTGGCAACAGCCTCCATATTTGGCTTGTCTCACAGACTTTAGTAAGCACATGTACTTACTAGTAGCAATACTGTACAGATGCGTGCGTCTAATGGGATGTTCATGGAGTGTTGGTAGAAAGTTTTGTGGAGGGAAAAACTGTGGTAGAAAATATTTCACAAGCAACAAGATCAAGGCTGTGGTGTCCAGGGCGTTATAAAGTTGTCCTTGTTTTAAAAGGCTTCTGTATTGGAGATAGCATCATTCAGAGTCATGTGAGCTACAGGTGTGTGTTTTATTTCAAGTCCAAAGTCTGAGCAGCGGTCTTCAAGGAAATTGTAGGTCGCTTCATGATGTCCTCTGCTGACAATGAAGAGACCTGACTCCAGCTCACACTGCCCAAAAACTAACACCACCTCGCTTAATATCCCTACGAAGTTTGTTGTGTCCATGCATGAGATAGTGTTTTGTTTTCTTACTTGGTCAGCAAACTTGCTTTATTTAAACCCCCCAGGAAATCTGTGGAGCATTGTCAAGAGGAAGATGAGAAATGGATCCAGGCCACGTTGCATAGATGCAGTAGTAATTTAATTTTCAGTTTTTACGAATCAGCGTGAAAATTAGTTGAAAATAAACATGTGTAATGAGTCTATTTATTAAATAAGTTTTTTTGAATTGAAGCAGTCAAAATAATTGCTTTTAATTGACTTTCTGATTTGAGCTGGTTCTCTATACCTGGTGAGTTAAAAAAAAATCTTACTGTAAAAGAGTGGGCAGAATATTTGTCTTCTATGTTCTGATGCTCACTTGTGCTGAGACAGAACACAACTCCCATTGGCCCTTTCCAGCTAGACTGTAACACACTGGCGACATCTTTAATCACCACTTTTTTTTACAAGCTGTGTTTTACCTGCTAATGGAACAGGCAAGATGATAATTAAATCAGAAAAAAAGAGACAAATACCTAAGTAGAGGCTTTCTACAGGCGCGGTGCTGTTGTAATTGCAGTGATTAACCAAAGTGGAGGAACTAATCAGTGAAATCACCTACTGTTGTTTGTGTTGTTGAAGAAAACCTGCAGACAGTTTGCCTTCTGCGCACACGACTAAATAACCTTGACTCATGTGCTCACAATGGAGACGATCGTTGGCTGGTTTGAGTGATTCATTTTTCAGAAAATAAGGTGCAAGTCACAGTCGTTCAGGGGAAACTTTGTACGCCGCAAAATATGTTTCATTTATGTGACATGTTTAAATACAGCTTACCCTACCCAAAGTAGCAACACACATCATGTTTGTAAAAACAGTTCAAATGTTAACAACAATCAGGCAAATATATTTTGATAATCGCTGTCCCCAAAATGTAGGTAGCTTGCTGAAAAAGGGCAAAGTGTTGGTAAGATGCGGGGTTACAAATTGCAGAAAGGTTGGGTTTACCTGAGCTCACCTCATAAATATCAGGTGTTTACACAGGTGATCTGTGTAAAGTGGGCACACAGATCACTATCAACGCTTCATCATCACACAAATCAAACCACAAACCTGACTTGCTCTGTCAAACATTGATCGTTACGGCGCTGTCACTATCTCCTCACTCTGAAATCACAGGAGATTTTCTAAGTCCTGGCGGAAAGTCTGTTATGAAAGGAACTCAAATCATTCACCTTCTTCTTTGCTTATTATCACCTTTAGGTAGCTCTTGTGCCAGTGAACTTGGACGGAATGGGCCATGTCTTATTATATGCGTTTTTCATGACATTTTTCCTAGGCTAGCTCTGATACATTGTTCTGTCTGCACATGCCTTTCTTTAATATATTGAGGTTTACACAAGCAGTGTTTAACTCTTGCTGTTTTGCATAGAGATAAGTCACAAAGCAATTTTTTTTTTATTTTTATTTTTATGATTGCTCATAATATTTTATGCCAACTCACAGAAAGTATCTAATGATTTTCTTAGAATAAGGAGGGAGGGGAATGCTGTTTTGTGTTGGCAATGATAATGAAGTGTGTTGTTTTGCTCATTCTTCAAAAGAGCAAACATTAGTATGTGTAAGAGTTTCATTTTCATTTCAACAAACCGAGCTGAATGTCACCATAGCCAGAAAATAATGCAGTGTTAATGCCAACCTGTATTCAGTCCAGGCTGCTTATCATTCAATTATCGGGGAAGAGAAAGGAAAGCGAAACCACAATGCTAAAGAATTGAATGCCAGTCAAGCAAAGCAAATGTCGTGCTCTGCAGGTTTAATCCTGTTTTTGCTGAATAAGTTAAACCATTCATTCCCTTTGTTTATGTCTAGGTTGTACCAAAACTCCTGAATCATTTAAACAAAGATCAGAAAGAGGAGCAAAGCTGTTCCATGCAAGTTTAAAGTCACCAGATGAAAACCCAACACCCTCCGAGGACGCCGGCTTTCCTTCAGTTTACTTGGCGTCGCTGCAAACCGCGCATAGTTTTTGCACAAGCATCAAAGTGTACAAACACGTTTAGATGAAAGCGATTAGATGTAATCACTGATTGAGGCATTACAGGGATGTGTCGGTGCAGCTCTCAGAGGCAAAATATTTTCATCACGAGTAATTTATCAGGGAGCAAAAAGGTGAGGGATTCTTGGAGGGGGGGACCCAGGCGAAATGTTAGTTTGTGTTAGTTGGCATTATCATCAACACATAAGCAAATTTAATTCAGTGGATGTGACACCGCCATCACATCACAGTTTATCTTCTGGAGGAGAGCACAGCTGTAATGAACTCTATCGCCACAGATGAATGCATTTTCCATCACAGATTAATGTTTCCACCACAAAGCAAGATTACAACAATCACCCACAACATTAAAAACCTTGACAGGTGAGGCAAATTCTATTGATTATCTCATTATAGCCCTGTGTGTCAAGAAATGGGATATATTAGGCGGCTCTTGAATCTAAAGCTGAGATGGCTGGATTACGACGCTGCGTGTTTTGTGTTTTGTGTGCACTGATTACTAAATGGTGGTTTAAGCAAAGACGGACAACGAATGAGTGGCGGTCCATAGATAACCGAGCTTCACTGATGAGTTTAGTGGTTGAAGGCTGGACGCTCTTGTCTAACCCTACAGAAGACTCACTGATCTGTTGCAGAAACAGCAACTAAATGACAAAAAAATAAAATAAAATCAAACATATATAACTGTAAACCACAAATCCCTTAACTCGCAGTATTTAGGCCTTTGAAAGTCCATTAAAGAACTAAAGTCATTGATTTAGTGATGCCGGCAGGTTTTTAGATCAAGATTAATTAAATC